GTGTTGGGGAGGGCGAAACGGAGGGGGAGGTGCGCACACTTCAAACCAAGGGCGGGATGGGTTGGGCCGAGGAGGCCGCTCAGTCAAGGAAGGAAGCCCATGCACTAGCGCGGAAGCAGGGTGCTTGGCCGCTTATCCACGACGGCGGCTGCCGGGCAGCGGCGCAGGCGTCACGCCTCAACCTCTCAGGAAACCACTCGCCGCCGCCCGCCACCCTGGGCCGCCTGCACGGGCACGCCTCCACCGCAGGCGGCCACCAAGGGGGCCGCTGGCGCTTTCCCCAAGCTGGCCGCCACGTGCCCTGGTCGAGCGCTCCAGATGCGCCGCTGCTGCCGGCGGCCTCACGTTACACCGCCATCCGCCCCCCCTCCCACCCCGGCGTCTCGCACCTGTATATCGACCCGACTGGCTGCGCCAGGCGCCAGGCTGTGCCGGAGCCACGAGTCGAGGCCAGGTGAGCCGGCGCCAGAGCCGCCAGCGGCTGCACCGCCAGCACGGCTGCGGCACGGGCAGGGCGCACTGCGGCTGGGCGGGGCGCCGCCAGCGCAGCCGTCCTCGCAACGGGCGCAGCCGAGGCCGCACCGGCGTGTGGCCGCTGGCCGGCCTTGTGCATAATGGAGCCTGCGATACGATGGCAAAGATGGGATGATGAGGCACGGGGTGGCGGAATGCATGGGCAAGCGCGGCCAGGCAGTGGCGCATGGCTGCATGAATGCGCCAGGCAAGGGGCATGCCGCTCTCGCCGACGCACCTTGCAGACGCATCGTTGATGCAAGAACGCGGCGTGCTATGAACATGCGCTTCAGAATTGATTTGATCAATCAAAGATGTGGCTGACGGTAAAAGGGATCCGGGAGCGGAATGCTGAGGTGTGACAGTGGGAAGCCTCTCGACAGGCACTCGAGATCGGCGCGAACTCCCTCGCAAACCCAAAAGCCAATCAAGGTAAATGTAAAGGTTGCAGTATTGTACAAGGGCTACAACCGAGACACAACTAGACTGGTCGAGGTGCTTCGGTGCCGGTCGCATAATGGGCGATTGGAACTACATCGCATAAGCCCTGGTAACAAGGAGTTGAGAGGCAGCTTTGGGCTGGCTGGGCCATAGCATTCAGCGCGCGCGATCCGACAAGGAAAGCATCGGCACATTGCGCTGTTGTGCTGCTCCGCTGCGCGACGCGCGCGTGGCGGTGGAGCGCGATGGCCAGCTTGCTTCAAGGCATCAAGAACTACTTTTGGGGAGGCATCAAGGTGCGCGACATGCCAGCGCGCGGCTACTGTCTAACGCCGCTGCTGGGGGAAGGCCTGGCGCCCGCTCGCAGTTGCAAGCTCACGCCCCCTACCACTTTGGCCCTTGCATGGCTGGCTTGCAGGAGGCCGAAGCACAGCAGCAGGAGCAGGAACACGAGCAGGAGGCGCCCGCCGGGTCAAACACGGGCTACCAGGCGAAGCGGCAGCGCCAGGGGCGCCGGCCAGGCAGCCCGCCGGCGGCCCCGGTGCTGCAGGATGCAGCGCATGATGAGGGCGGTGGCGTGCAGGTGGGCCCGCAGGAGGGGGCGAATGCACGCTGCGATCTTTTATGGCTGAGGCGGCGGCTAAAGCACGTGCAGGGAGAGCAATAAAGCTTTCTGAAGGGGAACACTGCAACACCCGCTGCGCTGTCTCCCTGCACCCGCACACTTTCATATTGGTCAGGGCCTGGACTGGTTTGCCCGCAGCTTGCAGCGCGACACTGACGGCGAGCTCGCCCACGAGGCGCTGGCAGAGGGCGACGACGGCGCGCTGCGCCAGTCTGCCGGGGCCGCGGCGTCGCCCGGCTGCCGCGTCGTGGACGTCTGCAGCGGCGCGGTGCTCGTAGAGCCGCGGCAGAACCCGGCAGCGGCTGCATCGGCAGCAGCGGCAGCAGCAGCAGATCGGCGGTGGCGCCAAGAGAATCGTCAACAGGAGGCAGAGCCCCAGCCGCCGTAGCATGGCCCTGACATGTTCGTTCAGTGACATGCCTGTGCACAAAGATTTGTAGCTTTCCCATCCATTTTTTCACTTGTGCATCCTGCCAATTGCAGCCCCGCTTCGCCTCACGGCAAATGTAACTCTATAATCGCTGGCTGCCAGGGCCGGCCTGATACTGGATTGGGAGGGGGCAATTGGAGCCACCAAAGCAGACCGTCGCTGTTGCCGCCAAAGCGGAATGTGCGTGCTGGGCGAGCGAGGTGGCCGTCCAGACCTGAATCCCAATACCGCGCCAACATAAGCAGCCGCGAGCAGATGGCGGCAGGGCAATGGGTAGATGTCTGCAACAGCCGGCTCACTGCACTGCCAGCCCTGTGATGGTGCAGCACATAGCGCACCTACGCCATCTTCACGTTCCACGTGACATGTCGCTGTCCTGTAGGACAGCCTACCCACACAAAAGCACGAGCACCCTGGGCAGTGCGGTGATTTCCCATCCAACTTGTCACCCTACCACCTACATACAACTGGTTACTGCCAAGCAAGCAGGCTCCATCCAGCATCAATCCAGCAAAGTTCGGACCCTGAACAAGGGCACAGGAAATGGAAAGGCGTATGCTCCAGCCTTGGCAGGGTCTGTCTGCAGGGACCATGCCGCTGGATCAGGCGTGCCATCTCAAGCCTGGCGCCACATGAGGGCGCCTCCAGCACCCCGGCGTGCTGCAGCACGGCCGGCGGCTATCGCGTCATGCTCGCACTTCGCAATGCGTTTTGCAGCTCAACCAAGAACAAGGCAAAACCCAGCAACAAAAAAGCGCTACCTTCAACCACAGGGACACCAGAGCCAGGCCCATCGGAACGAAAGCCTCTGGCTTGGGGCACAATGCGCCGCGGCGCAAGTGGTGGTGGGCTAGGTACATCCGTGGCACCAATGGCGTGCTGTGCAAGTGTGCGGGCAGGTTGCTCTAGTGACAAGCAAAGGGCGCAAACGCAGGCGGCTTGCGCGGCCTGCCCAAGCTCCGCCCCGGTCCCGCAACGTGCCGCACCCTTGAGTCTGCACGTGCTGGCTGGCTGGAAGGAGGCATGAGGAGTGCGCTTTGGGTGTTCCAACCCATGCATCAACAGGCGCAGCCCCCCAGCTTGCCATGACGCCCCCAACCAGGGCCCAACCAAGCAGGCGGCCCAGCTCCACCTGCTTGTAACAATAGGCCAAGTCTGAACAAAGCAGGGCCTTGCCGCTGACCCAGCCAGCTGCCGGCGCTGACGGCCGGCCTCGTCAGTAGCCGTACCGGCCGCCGGTGACCCCGTCGCCGCGGCGCAGGTCGATGACCGCCAGCACCAAGGAGGGGATCCACAGGATCACACTCATCCAAGCGAACGCCGACGAGGCCAGCAGGGCGTCGCAGTTTGAGAACGTCCGGTACGTCGCCTGCGGCAGGAGGCGGGGCGCGGCTCTCTCTACCAAGCCGCACACTTTGCTTGTAATCCGGCTCACGACGGTCCGGTGCAGCGATAAACGAGGGTCGATTGGCGTGTGAGCCATCCAAAAACACACAAAGCCGCGCACTGCGCCACTGCGCTACCAGTGATCCATAGTCGCCACCACGGCCCCTCGGCTCAAATCGGCCCAGACTCACGTCTTTGATCTTGCACTCTCCAAATGCGGAGTAGGAGGCAGCAGCGGCCAGCCAGAAGACGAGCCAGATGCTGGTGATCGCCACCTGCGCAGGGATGAGGCAGGGGAGAAAGGACGTCAAGGAGTTGGCATGACATACCCTTGCGCAGCACACCGGTGACACGTGGCAAACGCCTAGGCTCAACGGCTAAACGGCCCATTCACACAGGTGTAGCTGTACCGGAAAGTCATGATACATCACAGCTGCCGATGCTGGCACGGCGTTGCCTGCATGACAAGCCGCCTGCACCGCGACAACAACCGCGCCAACCTACTCACTTCAACTGCGCCTTTGAACAACCGCTGCAGCCTCTCAACGCACGACACGGCAGCGTAAAACATCGCCAGCAGCCAGGCCGTTACACCCGTGAACACCATGAAATTTATCATGGGGGAACCCTCGCCCTTTGACTGGATGTATGCAGACGCCGCAAATGCCACCAGCGCCAGCACGGCCTGTATGCAGGGAGCGGCGAGGCAAGAGTTCAGCAGCGGCACATGAGCGCAGCGAGCCCTGACAAGGCCAGCCTAGCTAGACCACAGCCTAGTGATGATGCGCGCTGCGGGGCGGCGCGCGCCGCATTGTTGTGCGGGCGACAGCACCATGCACGCAACCTAGGGACATAGTCGCGACTTGACATAGGATATAATCAGACAACCAAGCGCGATACGTCCTATCCCTGACGATCCTGGGAACTCGCCTGCACGACACGCAGGATGACCTGCGGACCTGCTCCCCAGGACGCCATAGTTTCGGATGATGGCGCGAAGCGCTGAAAGGTGGATGTATGAGCAAAAGTTGTCACGTTCCCGAGCGAGATCGGCGAGCTGTGAACACGGCCAGCGGTGGTGATCAACGATGTGTGCTTGGCCAGCAGAGAAAGAAGCACGCAACAAAAATTCGCCACTGTTACTTGCACAACAAACAGTATGTGCTCACACTCACCACCTCCACGCCGCTGCCCGCGCTTTGTCCATCGCCCAAGGAAGCTGCTGGCTGGAAGCACCGGCGGCGGGAAGGTAGTCTGCAGGGCAGTGGACCGACAGGGTATTGTTTGCTGATACACATTCGTGCATGATCACACAAAAATGCCATACTCGTGTAATAAAAGCCGTGCTTGCCAATCCTCACTCCCTGATTGGACCAGGGCATGCCAGATTGCCTGGGATTGCGCGGTCAATCTATGCAGCAGCCCGGCGCAGCAACAGGATGGCCCGGCATCATTCATTTGAGACTTAAGTAATTGCACAACCGCTTCATATGCCCCTTGACTTTCAGCTGCGCCGATGCAGCCCGGGCGCGCTGCGTCCCCCCCCCCCTCGATTCGCCAAGGTGGAGCCGCCCCAGCCCGCCGAGGCACTGCACCCTGCTGGCAGCCCTGGCGGCAGCCTTCGCGACAATGTCGCCTGCCACTGTTAGCCACCGAAGTGTTCAGGACGGAAAGTTGTTCACAAGAGTGGTGCCTGCCAGCTGGTAACGAGTGTGGGTAGGCTGGCATAGTCATTGTGCGTTAATGCTCACGACGCAGTCCCTTGTTTTTGGATTGCGGGCCCAGCAAGAGAGTGTGAAGGCGGGGCCGCTATTTTTCAGAACCTGGCCCCTGCCGTAGCGACGTGGTCAGCCGGTGAAGGGGGTGTTCAGGCCGGGGCGAGGCGCAGTCATGCCACTGTCACAACTTCGTTGAATTTTCACACGGGGACGCGCTGGTTCACACATTTTTACCTCTGCGCTGAGAAAAATCGTATGAGCTGACCATGCATATGAATGATCAAAAGCTAACCGATATCATTTTGTTCAATCGCCATCCCCCCTATCAGCCTTGTCACTCGGCAAGGCCCCCAGACACCCACGGTGGTCTGGTGGGTGCGTGCATGCGACTCAACAGATTGCTTGCGGGAGCAAGAAAACACAGGCAGGAGGAGATGACAGGTATCATTCAGCGCCTGCAGCTGTCAAGAGGTATGACAGCAGCGAGGATATTGAGAATGCAGGAAATGCTGGTGCCTGGCTTTGATCACCCAACATTCTGACTGTGCCATGTGGTGTGTGCAACAACGCCGTAGAAGAAGCACTCACAGGGTTCACTGGCTCATGTGAACTGCCCTTAATTTCTGAAAGCCCTGCATGGTCACCTGTCGTCAACGAATCATCCATGTGCATGAGTGCAACGATGTGGGCCGCAGGAAGCTGCCTGCAGCCGACCTCGACATTTGCCTGTAAGACGTTTCCGGCCTCTTGGACCTTCAGATTATCTTCATTGCATCTACACCATCAGTGTCATACATCAGGTGAGGTTTGAGCGTGCACGCTGCCCGAATTCAACTGCCGACGATCTGGGCGCGAGAGGGTCGCAACCTACGATCAAGGCACGGCCCGTCTACCAAGCTGGCCGTCATGCCACGGCCAGCAGCACCTAGGGGCCAGCAATCCTGATTTGCCCGCTCCTGCCATGATCCTGGTCAGCATCAGTTTGGCGCATCCCCACTCTCCATGCCGGCGCTGTCCTACCGTATCGCTGCGCCGCCCTGCCTGCAGGAGCACCTTGAGCTGAAAGAAGTACCTCTTTGCTGCCATCAGGTGGGAGCAGCCGGAAAGTTGATCAAAGGTGGCAGTGCTGCTGTTGATGCGGCGGCAAGACGCGCAGCGCAGCATGCGCCAGCCCGCAGATGATGTGCATGCGGCAGAAGTTACCGTAGCATGCAGCAGCAGGTGTCGTAGCATGGGGGCATCCAATTTCCAAGCCTATCGTTTGAAACTCTTGCAGGAAACTGCCATTCAAGCCACAGACCACAACAATAACCTGACATGCTCAACCGCTGCCGTTCCCGCCATCGCAACCCTCTGCATCGCGGCCCCCACCGCCTGCATCGCGGCCCCCACCGCCTGGTTCTGGACTGCATGTTGCTACTGCCCCAAGGTATGCAGTATACGCCCTTGCCTCGGGCGCACACTGCGTGCCAAACCACTGCGCAGTCAGCAGGGCGCCATCCAGGTTGGCGCCGCATGCCATTCTCCCACCAGCCAAACGAACCTCTCTTGATGCCAGCCAATTGTATCGTAACAACACTCCGGGCTGCCCGCTTGGATCCTCCTCACACCATCCCAGCAGCTTTCTACTCCCAGGCATGGCTTCCAACCCCGAGGGCCGCCAGCAGGCCGCCACTGCAGACTCGTACGCCGTGCCGGCGCCCAAGCTGGCGGGTCACTCCACCCCCGAGCAGGTGCACGTTGTCGGGGGCGAGTCCCCGCCTCCTGCACTGCACAGCCCCAGGGTGCGCATGGCGGCTTTTGCAATAAAAGCAGGGAGTTGTGCAGCATCTCACATCGTGCTAGATCTGCTTGCTGCCTTGGCTTCCATGACAGTCCCCCTGATGCGTGCTGAGCAGCTGGTGCACACACGCCCGCTTGGGCGCATGCCACTTGTGGCATTGCTTGCTGCGGCCCCATATGTTCTGCAGAACGATCGGGCGATGCATGCACCTGCATGCCCAGCTGCTGGCCTGCTCCGCCACGCCTCTAAAAACCTCCATTCAACAACCCCTCACCACAACTGCCGGCTTTGCCACCATGTCCCACCTGCATGCGGACCACACCGGCGGCGCCCTGCTGTCATCTCCCAAGGCCTCGTATCCGAACGCCGCCGCTGTGAGGTCAGCCGTGCTCCAGGACCCTCGCGGCCCCCCCAGTTACCGCCTGAAGATCGCGCGGGAGCGGCTGGTGCAGGTGCAGGCAGAGATGAAAATGGTGATGGACGAACTGCTGCTCCTGCAGCTGGACCTGGAGCAGTCCGAGGAGAGGGAGGGGGAGGACGCCGGGGGGCGTGCCAGCACGGCCGCGTAATGCGCGCATGTGCATGTCAACCAGTAGGGAGGACGGGCAAGCCCGTCACGGTGCCACCCCCTGCAAGCATGAAGCATGCTGCCTTAGCCAGCTGACACATGGCGCTTTGCGGGGCGGGCGCACAAGGGGGTGGTGGGGGCCTTGAGGCAGGGATTTGCACGGGCTGCATGGGGCTGTAAGGCATTGCATGCTAACCTCGCAGGATTTCATTACAGATGGCTGCTGTGGGTAGGCCGTGGCTGGCGAGCGCGATGCCCCTGGATGCTCGCGGGCACAGGGACAAAAATCATTTCTTGTGTCATTCCTTGGTGACATATGAATGCTGGCGCCGTCTGCCGTCGAATCTTGCATGCGTGATGGTGTCAGTAACAATGTGTGGTGCTGCCTGCTTCTGGCCCAACACACTTCTGAGAGAGGTTTACAGAATACATAAAAGATACCGGCTGTCCTGGAAACGTTGCATCTCAAGAAGCTTGCCGCTGCATGTCCACCCTACAGCAGCTGCACATACCAGCTTCATTACGTCGCAGGCACATGGACGGCAAAAAGGGTGGGGCCAGCACGCACATAGCAGCGTATATAGAAGTATGAGGCGCAGCGGAAGGCCCTGGGCACTGTCACACCCATGCTTGGTCAAAGACAATCTGATCACTGTAGTGGCCTCCAAGCGTAGGCCGCGGGGGCGTTCTCGCATACAAAACCCACAAGATGCCCAGGCATCGCAAGCGGGCGTTGCACTGACGCAAAATCCAAAATGCACAGGGGCAACAATGGAACATGGGGGCGATGGTGAACGAGGCACTTGTGTTTGCGGCAAGGGCCAAATGCCATGTTTAGGCACACCAAGCTTCAGCGGCTGGGCTGGTCCCCCAAAATAGAGAAAGAATATCAACCTTCTTTGCTGAAGTGAAGGTCATTGAACTGCACAAAACAAGGTTAATGCCTAGGCTAGACATGGGGCAAGCGATGCTTGACGGGAATGCAGCGAATTGCCCAGCTCTGCCGCTGTGGCGCTCTCGTCGCCGTTGGCCAACGTTGGGGGCGGGGGGGGGCGAGGGCTCATGACCGCACGCCTGCGAGCGTGCCTGGCGGCTGCCCATCAGATGCCAGTGGACAAGTGCACCCTGTGGTTGGTGAAATGGTCGGCCAATCTAGGCCGGAGTGGGACACGCTGCTGGGGCAACTGGCGTTCTCGCCACTGCCAAGCATCACTGTGCAGCACTGCTCAGGTTTGATCTCTCCAGGCTTGGCAACCACGGCTTGCTGCAGGGATGGAAGTCGTGCAATGGCTAGAGGTCTGAGATGAGTGGGTGAGCTTTTGCCTATTGGATCAACAAGGTTCAGCAGGGCGATGCAACAAAGGAACAGACGGCATGGCTTGTGCTACACCAGCAAGTTGTTGATAGTGGCAATAGGAGGTGGCATGTTGTTGAGCCACACTGTAGGGTATCAAGATCATGGGTGGATAAATGCGGCCGGTTTCAGCCCCGATTGCCCTCGCACTCAAGTCCCGCACCTGGGACACTGCCCGCCTGGCCGCAGGTGCGCCACCTGCGCCTCGCGCCTTGTAGCACGGGATGCAAACGCAGACCAGCCAGCCGCGCCTCAGGACCAGTAGTGACAATGATGGTAACCACGTGTGCCCGGGCCGTGACCCCAGCGCCGCCGCCGCCGCCGCTGCCGTCAGAGCCTGCAGGAATCTGTCGCAGCTGCTGTTGCCGGAAGGGAGGGGCTGAGAGGACGCGGCACGGCGCGCAGGGGCCGCGCGCGGCCTGCCCTGGAGGCTTAGACGGGCAAGTTGCAGGTAGGGAAGGGCGTCCAGGGCGTCACCGGTGTTGACCCCGTTGTCAGTGTGCTTGCAGACGGGTGGCCATTTGAATTGATCACATGGTGTGCATAATGTGAGGAGGGAAATGTCCTGGGAATGGGGGGAAGGTTGGAAGGGAGTCACCAGGACGTTTGAACAATATGGCAAAGCAGACTTGCGACTATGAGTCCAGCAGCAGCGGTAGGCCGCTGAGGCAAACACGCCCGTCACAGGGCGTTAAAAAGGGTCACGGCCTTGGGCCAGCCGCAAGGCCGGGGGGGCGCATTGCACCTTCCAGCTCTTGATGAAGGCATACTGCTGCCCAGGTACATCGGGATTGGGAGTCTTTGGGGGGGGTTGAGATGTGGGGTTCCGGGGAGACTGCATGCAGCCTTGGCAGGTGTAGAGGGACGGGCGACTACTGGTTGTATAAGAGGGCGCCAAAGCTGACAGTCAGAGCCAACGGCGCCCCCACAAGCAAACACATGCCAACCATGCAGCTTGCAAGGGGATCAGCGGCAGCTTTGCTGCACAGCGTCCGCAGGTGTGCCCAGCAGACACGACATGCTTAAACGAAATGCAGAGGCGCACCCAGATTCGCAGAGGTTTGGCAGGTGGAGCAAGCGCACGGGGCGGACCCACTCACATCTGGTCCCTGGCAGCGCTGGCAGCTGTGTCGAGAGAGTGGTGCCTGCCAGCTGATGACCACTGGGGCCGACGCTGGCGTAGTCATCGCAGGAAGAGCAAACGTGTGGGAAGAAGGGGCCGCCACTGTCTGGACCCTTAACCCTGCCGTAGAGATGTAGCCAAGTGCAGAAGAGGGCTTTCAGGCTGACGCCAGGCGCAATTATGCATCTGGGCGATGACTTGTGCATCAGCCGTGTGTCTTCTTTGTGTGTCTTCTTTGTGTGTTTGCTTTGTGTGTGTGTGTGTGTGTGTGTGTGTGTGTGTGTGTGTGTGTGTGTGTGTGTGTGTGTGTGTGTGTG